TATATATATATGTATATGTTCATGTATAATTGAAAAATTGTGCTCTACTCTGGAATTTGACACAACATTGTAAAATGATTCTAAATCAATAAAAAATGATTTTTAAAAAACCCTAAAAATAGAAACATAATGTGACCCAGCCATTCTACTTCCAGGTATATATCTGAAAAAATGAAAACACTAATTCAAAACGATACATGCACCCCAATGTTCATAGCAGCATTCCTTACATTTGCCAAGATACAGAAGCAACATGAGTCTATCAATAGATGAATGGATAAAGAAGATGTGAGATACATACATACTCAGTCACAAAAAAGCATGAAATAATGAGATTTGCAGCAACATGGATGGATCTGGAGGGTATTGTGCTTCCCCAGATTCCTTCCAAATTACTGCCCCCGTGCTGGGTCTCAGAGCATGTGAGATATTGTTTGTGCTCTTTAAGAGTGACGTCTCTATCTCCCACAGCCTTCTGGCTCTCCCACAGAAAGCCCGTCCGGCCTTCAAAGCCGGATGTTCTGGGGAATCATCTTTCTGGTTCAGGCTGGGACTCGGCAGTGGGTTCTCCCCTTGCTCCTTGGGGACAATGTCTGTGCTTGTCATTCCCTTCTTGTTTGTGGGTCACCCACCTAGGGGTGTGGATCTTGACTGTGCCCCCTCCTGTCTGTCTTGTGGTTCCTTCTTTATATCTCCAGCTGTGGAAAATCTTTTCTGCTGGCTTGTAGGTCAGAGTTGCTCTCTAAATAGCTGTATTTTTGCTGTGCCCATAGGAACAGGTGAGCTTGGGATCTTCTCACTCTGCCATCTTGGCCACACTCTGAGTGGCAACTCTCTGGTTTTGACCCAGGATTTTTTTTCTCAAATTTTATAGCATGACCCATGTTTCTTCCCTCCCTGCAGAGTATATGCGTGGTCTAAAATATGGTAGCAACTAGGCAGATTTGGCTACTTAACTTTAAATTTAGTCAAAATGAAATAAAATTAAAAATTCAATTCTTCACTTACACTCATCACATTTGATGCGCTACTCAGCCCACATGGTCAATGACTGCCACACTGAACCGCTCAAAACAATTCTATTATTGCAGAAAGGTCTAGTGCTTCTGGATGATGAGGTGGGCAGGTCTCTTGAATGAGCAAGTATGGACATCTCCTCCTCTCACTTCCTCTTTCCTCCTCCTTCTCAACAGCTCAGCATCACTTCCTGGCTTAGCATTGTCTTCAAAGTTAGAGCAGAGGGCAGGACCTGGACTTTCCAAGTAAGTAAATAAGGGTGTTTGTGGGGGTGTGGGAATGGAGGGAGGGAAATGTGTGATTTGGTGGAGAAGGGACCCTGGATCTGTATCTTAAACCTCCCTGCACACTTGCTCTCAGAGTATGTTTCTCATTGGTTCCTGTTTCCTGTCTTTGCTGATTTTAAGCTATGATCTGTTTTGAAGACTGAGCCCTACAAACTGATGCTTCTTCGGGGTCACTGCTCAGAGGATACTTATACAAATAAATGATTCCTTTTTACCATTTATAGAATGTACAAATAAACTTGAAGTTCTCAGGAGTAGGATTATTTGAGCAGATCAAACCAGTTCTGTGGGGAGCTGGTAGTGTGAAGAGCACTGGGAGATGTAAGAGGCACAGCTCATCACACCCCCTGTTCATAAACCAGCAAACAGGTCAAGATCAGAGGCTCTGCTGCCCAGTTAACTGTCTGCTCAGAGCTGCCCCTTTGGAACTTTCCTCCTCAGGAACAGTCCCTTACTGGGCCTCACCTAGACTTGGGCAAGGGCGAC